CACATAAGCTCATCGTTGTTTCGATAAATGATCATTGCGCTTCGGTAGCGCTTTAAGTGTCTCTACGGGTCTTCATCCACTTTGAAAGATGTGAAATGTGGCATGCTGAACTCTCGTGGAGGCTCTGCCTTCTCGATCTCGTCCGTGAAGGGTGACCTGCTTATGTTGGTCATGTTCCGTCGTAGTGCCTCGTCGGTGACCTCGTTGCGTTGGAAATCATGCAATCGCTTGGTCAAGAGTCTCTCTACTTCTTCCTGAATTTGCCTTTGTTGGGGTAGCGGAGGTCTCGGCTGCCCCCAGCCATGACTTGCTGGTCTAGGCTGCTCTTCCATGTGTTTGGCTCGTCTACGCCGCAGATGCAGTGCATGTGGTGCGTTTCTAGCAGGCGAGCGAGTTCTTCGCAGGCTGCTGGTTGAACTTGAGCTGGATTGAGTGACTGCTTCTCTCCGTCCGTCGTGCTGCCTACTCTGATGTGAGGTGGATGATGCTCCTTGTGGGCTTAGCCGCGAATGAACACTTTGTCCGGAAGGTTGCTCATGTTGACTATCGGAGTGTGACCCCAACCGTGAATGTATGCTCATCCGTGTGCCTAGTCGAGAGTACACGCTCCTTCGCGCGCTAAGACGGGAGTATACGCTATCTCGGGGGCCCAATCGGGAATGTACACTGCCCAAACGTTCGGCTCGTGGCTGGTCGAGTGGCTGCTTACCGGGACGCTGCTGGAAATGTTCGTCTGCCCTTGTCCTACTTCGGGATACCTCGTCCGAGGCACGTTGGATCCCGATACGTTGCAAAAGTTGATTCACCAAGGTTTTCTGTTGTGCAAGGGCGCTCGTCAACTCTATGACTTGTCGAGACAAGTGTTGTTCGCCATTTGGATTGGAAGAGCTTGGAAGGAATGCGCCTCCTTGGGCAGTGGAAAGGTGGTAGACTCCGGGCGCGAGATTTGAGTTGGGAAATGTCAAATCCGCGAAAAAATATGGTGAGAATGCCCCCGGCTCGATGGTAGGTCCGGATGGTTGAGATAGTCTTGGGCCGACTTGGGCTGCTTGGAAAGCCACGGGAGCAGGCTGGGCCGTGAGAGTGGGCTGCTCGAAAGAAGCAGGCTGGGCCGTGAGAGTTGGCTGCTCGAAAGAAGCAGGCTGGACCACGGGAGTGGGTTGCTCGTCGGGAGTAGGCTGGGTCATGAGCAGGCTGCTTGGCAGGAGCAGGCTGGGCCACGGGAGTGGGCTGCTTGGCAGGAGCAGGCTGGGCCACCGGAGTGGGCTGCTCGACGAAAGCAGGCTGGGCCACGGGAGTGGGTTGCTCGTCGGGAGCAGGCTGGGTCACGAGAGCAGGCTGCTTGGCAGGGCCACGGGAGTGGGCTGCTTGGCAGGAGCCGGCTGGGCCACCGGAGTGGGCTGCTCGACGAAAGCAGGTTGGGCCACGGGAGTGAGCTGCTCGTCGGGAGTAGGCTGCTCGGCAGGAGCAGGTTGGGCCGTGAGAGTGGGTTGCTCGTCGGGAGCAGGCTGGGTCACGAGAGCATGCTGCTTGGCAGGAGCAGGCTGGGCCACGGGAGTGGGCTGCTTGGCAGGAGCCGGCTGGGCCACCGGAGTGGGCTGCTCGACGAAAGCAGGCTGGGCCATGGGAGTGGGCTGCTCGTCGGGAGCAGGCTGGGTCACGAGAGCAGGCTACTCGGCAGGAGCAGGTTGGGCCGTGAGAGTGGGTTGTTTGACGGGAGCAGGCTGGATCACGGAAGCAGGCTGCTCAATGCGCAGTGCATGTGAATGCGAGGCTTGGGCTTGGGTCCACGTAAACTTGGATGGCACGGCCTGGATCGTGGTCTTGGTACCGTAAGCCTTGGATGGCACGGCTCGGCCGTGGTGAAGGCTCCATGGACCTCGCCACGAGTGGCTACCGAAGTAGCCACCGCGGTGGTTCCCATGGTGGCCGTGGTGAAGGCACCATGGACCTCGTCGTGGGTGGCTACCGAGGTAGCCACCGCGGTGGTTCCCATGGTGGAAACTCGTGGTGATGATGCCGCTCCCCTTATTGTTGCATTTTGCCTCACGGATCTCCGGGCCGTGGTGAAGGCTCCATGGACCTCGCCACGAGTGGCTACCGAAGTAGCCACCGCGGTGGTTCCCATGGTGGCCGTGGTGAAGGCACCATGGACCTCGCCGCGGGTGGCTACCGAGGTAGCCACCACGGTGGTTCCCATGGTGGAAGCTCGTGATGATGATGCCGCTCCCCTTATTGTCGCATTTAGCCTCACGGATCTCCGCAATCCCATTTCTTGAACATTAGACTTTTCACTTGTGGAATTTTCTAAATTTCTAGCCATTATATTTTGCTTATACGTTTTATCAAAGAACCTTTGCAAGTAAAAAATTCTAATAATAAGAACGTATGAAAAATATTCAAATGGACTAGAAAATAAAGAAAAAACCTTTTTGTGCGAGAGTCTTCTACGAGTATGGATTTCAACTCTCAATGAAAGCACCAATTTGTGGATGCAAATTTCTTCCTCCTCGATCTTGGATGATTTTGCACCTACTACAAAACAATTAACACCTTAGGTTAAGGCCAAGAGCCTCACGCACCGCCCACGATGAATGGGGGGGGGCTTTGGCCGAAGAACCTCCGATGCCAAAGTTAGAATTTAGAGAGAAAGAGTGTTTAGAGAATTTTGGGATTTTTGCCAAAAGTGTTGGAATTGATTCTTTGATGAAAATAGGTGCCTATTTATAGAGTTAGGAGGTGGCTAGGGTTTTTAGGTTTAATTAGCCAATTTATTTGGCTATTTAAACATAAAATGAATGTTTTGGTGGTTTTTGGAATTAATTGGCTAGTTAATTAGGGTAATTAAAAAGGGAAAATGGTGGAAAAGGTAGAGAATATGATAGGCTCTTTTTGGATGGGAATGGCCGGACCTTGGTGTGATTTTGGGGTGATTTGGTGATATAAATAGCCTTTAATATATTGATTATATTAATTGGTTGAGGATGTTATGGAATGTTTGAAATAAATGGCTAATTGAATAAGGAAAAAATGAGGTAAAAACATATATGAAATAGGTTTTGAATTGTTACCCATTTTGGGTACTCCTGACTTGGTTGATGGATGATTCTCCACTGCTCGCGTGTAGGAGACCCGGTATGCCTCGAGGGTATTTTTGTCCTATTTTGTCCAAAAATCCACGTGTCGCCTAGTGAATATTTTTGGCTCCACAGCCGCCACTTCCAACCTCGAGAATGCCCTATGTTCGTTCTCCACCGCTTCCAATTCGATCTCTTTTGATGTGTTTGTTTCCCGTAAAATACACCTAGACTTAGGGGGACTTTGTAAAAATCTTAATTGACTACTCAAAGATTTGGATGTATTCTATAAAATTCTCTCAAATCTTAATTTGACTACACCATGATTTCAAACTCTTTTAAAATCTTCTTTCAAAATCATAGTTGAATACACCCGGATTTTAAAGTCTATTAAAATCCCACCAGATCCTATTTGACTACACCAGTTTCCTGGAGGCACATAATACTTATTCTTCTTCTCACCATATCTTTCATTACCTCTATAGATTTTCCTATTAAGGTTCCTATATCCCATGTTCCTAAACGTATTATACTATGTTGAGTCCTACTCTTATGTCCTAACTTCCTTGACCTTACCTGTTCAGTATGGTCAAAATACTTCTTGTGCATTTCCTGGATAATGTTGATGTCATCATATGCTTCCAAACAACTTTGAGTGGAGTTGTTCAAAAGAAGCTTCTACAACACCCTTGCTTGTTTAACATTGCATTAGAGCGCCGATTGAGATACAACAACCTATGTTAACTTATCATTGTGTCCGGGCCGCACAACATATCACCTCTGGAGGACGATCTAACTTTAGCGCAATTTCGTTTAGGATTCATATCACATGGGACCTGACGTGAAAATAGAGTGCCCCATGTTGACTATCTAACACCTTCCCCTTTCTCCTTTATCCGGCTCGAGATCAATAGCGTAAGATAAACTTTAACATGCAGAGTTAAAAACTAGTGTAGCTAATTTTTTCTTGAACTTTAATTTTAACCGGTTACTCCCTTGAACTTTTATAAATAGCCAATTTCCTCCCTAATGCTAGATTTTAAAAAATTTCATCCAATTTTTTTATCCATTTTGATCATGGGTACAACACTTGACAACTGTATGAGAGCAAAAAGAATGGAAAATTAGATGAAAAATTTAAAATCTAACGCTGGGGAAAAAAGCGGCTGTTTATAAAATTTTACGGGGGATACAAAAGATAAAGTTCAGAAAGAAATTGGTTAATTATAAAAGTTTAGGAGATAATCGGTTAAAATTAAAGTTTAGAGAGAAAATTAGCACCTATACACAAATTCAGGAGGCAAACCAATAAATACCTTTAAATGTATTATTTATTTTAAAAATTAAAGATGATATTAAGTTTCATCTTGATATGTGAACTACTTGTAGAACAAAAGAAACGAAGCAAAAAACGTCTTTTTTTTTTTTTTGAGTAAGCAAAAAACGTTTTGGACCAAAATAAGAAAACCCAATACCCAATTGGGATAGTAGCATTATTATACCATACTAACCGAATTTCATGGCATATGAACAATTTGGTATGCTAATGGTATTAAATTTCGACATTCTAAAAGTTTGATATGATAATTGTATGGTAACTGTACCAAACTCACTTTGATTGAGAATAGCTTATATAAAATAGGTTTACCGTCACGTGACATCTCGATTAATTATATATTATTATATAAGGAAAAACTTACATATCAATAAATTATTAGACAATAGTCATCACGTAACGCTCAACCTGTTCTAGTTATAATGCTAGAGAGAATAAACTTTTAAACTAAATTTACAAACCAAATGATATGTTAATAATAAAAAATAAGCACATTAATCAATACTTAAGTAATAATCTTATCACCAATAACCACGTTATTTAGTTCCCGAAATTTGATGTCCATATTACCTTAAAATGTTGTTCTCCTAGCGTTGTTACCCTATCGAAAAGAAGAGAGAAAGCTCAGAAGGAAACGTGGAGAAGAGATAGAGCGGTGAGACAAAGGGAAATGGAGGGAGAAGCAGCCGCAGCAGAAGGGCGGCATCCTCTGAAACCCCATCCTCTTTTCAATAACCATAACAGCTGGAAACATAAGGTCTCTATCACACAAACCACGAACAATCCAAGTTTATGAGTCATACATTATTATTTCGTAATTTTAATCCTTGCTTGGATTTTTTATTCAATTTTATGATCCAGTTTATTTTGATTATACAGATTATGTATAATTTGAAAATATTTGTTAGTGTGTATTGTATGTAAGCTTAGCAAACTGTAATTGGTATCTGTAATTTGTTTTGCAGCTGAGAGAGAACTGTTACAAAAGGGTTCGAGAAGACAGAAGGCGGTTGCTTTGGAAGATGAGAATGCTGCCCACTCCACAAATTCTCAATCATATTCCAAATGTACTCCACGGTCTTCACTCTGTCCCTAATTTTTTTCTTTCTTTCTTTTTATTTTCTCTGTGAGAATTTGGTTTGCACTTTCCAATTATATTTGTGGAACTTGTGTTTGCAGGGTTTGATCAAATCTGCATTCCAGGACATAGTTTCTGCTGAATTGGAAAAAATTAAGGAATCGTCATTGGATGAAAATGTAAGGAGTTCAACATCTGTCCCTGAGGCCAATGATGTGTTATGGGAATACGATGGCCTTACAAATATATACCAAGGTGATTGTGAAGAGATATTGTTAGCAATGCAAAGGATCTTTTATGAAGACCTGACTACTCATCCAACTAGAAAAGAAGGTGAAAAATTCGGTGCTTTTTTCCCGATGAAATTATAAGCTCAATTGTTGTATCAGAAGTCTCTTGACTATCAACTGTTATAATTTACTCTAGCTCTTTGCAGAAACAGAAATATGTGTTGAAACATGGGAAGATGAAGAGGATGAGTATTTGTCCCAGGCAATTTATGAGCATATGCAACTGAATGACAAGCAGGTATAACAGCAAAAGTTATGGTTATTCCCATGCAACAATTTATACGAATTTGTATCCAGTTTACACATTTTATTGTATCATAATAATTGTTAATCATTGAATTTATGATTAGTGATATTATCAATTAATTCTTTATTATGATATTGGTATTGTAATGAAAAACTGTACTCAAGCAACTGTATGCTTGGCATCTCAGAGAGTATCACTTTAGCTGTTGATTAACTCCAAAGTACGTTTAATGTTGTCATTGTTTCTTTTTAAACCCAATTATCTGTTGTAATGAACATTGACCCTCCCTATAAAGAGCTAGTTATATATTTTATTTTCCCCAAAGATGGTTTTAGCAAAATATGGAAGATAATATTATTTCCTAACTTTTATTAGAGTAATATTAGAAGTATCATATTTCTTGAGAGCACCTCTAGTGGTGTGGTGTGTCTTAACAACAAGCTATACTAGAAGCCCAAGATTTCTTGACTACACCAGAGTTAAAACTTGATCTGAGCTTCAGCTTCTAGATCATGTGTTATTTGGTGGAAGAATATGGTCATTCTAACGTAAGTTTCCCCCACATAAGGAAACTTTTGGCTCCATCCCTGCTTGCCCTGCACAAAGAAGTGTGATCCAAAGGGTAAATTGTGAAACCAGGATCTCTAGACTGAATTACTGAAGATTACATGAGGCAAATATAACCAAGATGGTTGAGGAGATAGCGTGAGAAGATTCTAAAGTCCATGTGTTGAGTCTCACATGGCCTACTTACGTTCAGGGGAATGCTATATATGTGAGCTTACTATCTCTTATAATCACAGGCCTTTTCTGCTCATGAAGGCTAGGTTAAGCGCCAAGTGGTAATTATATGACCATGTGGATGGGGGTCATTCAAATCAGGAGTAAGAGAACTTGGAGCTCTTAATCAGGCTATCTTGTGCTTATGGATTTTATTATGCCTAAGCTGATTTTTTATTAAGGAACATTCTTGTAATTTTTTTTCAGGAAAAGAAAAAATAAAACAAAATAGATAAGTTGTGCCATAAATGAAGGCTTGATTCACAAACTATGTCAGGAAATGAAGGTTGAAATGAATGACCTGACCATCAAGTAGGACCCAAATAAAGCCTTATGACATGATTAAGATGAGATCTTTGCTGTTTTCTCTGTTCCAGTTGCTTATTTTCTTGCTATTTGAGCAAAATCTGCATACTAGTGAACATTCCGTTACAGCAGCAGCAAGTTTGATTCTATGGCTAAATCATTCTTCTCTATTTGTTAGTATTATAACTTTAGTTCCAATATTTTATTACAGCTGTGGTCCCAGCTTCTAATTATTTTTCCAGTCAAATTACTTCCTTATCTATCAAAGTGTGGTAAAATTAATGACAGCATGCTATATGCTTTATATCCATGTGAGAAAAAGGCTAAATCATTCCTCACTATCAGTCCCTTCTTCTTTGGTACTGATTAGATTGTTTTGGCTGTAATGCTAGATGGACAGGGAGGAAGTTTGGTGCCCCGTCTGTAAGCACGGAGTACTACAAGAGAATTACAACCTAATATACTGCACTTTATGCAAAGTTCAGCTCAACAAAGCCAATGAGGTATTGTTATCTCCTTATGTTTTTATTTATGCTTATGCGTTATAATGCAGATATCATAATCCAAAATTTGACCAAGTTCTCCATAATTTTTGAAGGACGTAAAGAAATAAAAATCTCGATTCCCAAATTCCCAAATAGCATGTTTTGTGGTTTTGGAAAGGGCAAGAAATAAATCGTGCTGTATAGATAGTAGATATGGGTGACAGTGCGATTGAAATGCATTTTGTTTGGTTTTTTTTTTTTTTTTTTTTTTTTTTTTTTTTTCACCCAGAAAAACAAGCAAAGGGAGTTTTAAACTTGTCTGAGTTCTGGTCAGCGTGCTCTCCACTAGTATAAGATACTAGCTATCAAAAGATTTTAAAAGACATCATTTATTAAGTTATATGCATGAATGCGCCACTTCTATAATTTTTACTCGTTTCCTTGTTATATATTGTGAAAAAGGTCTCCTTGAAAATGTAATTCCAAATGACATTAGTATAAGTAGTTTGTCAATTTGATTAATCATCTTGACCATCATATGGTTATTTAGTAGTATATTTCCTGTTACTACTTCAGAAAAAGAAAATTCATTTATATTACGAGTTAAAAATTCCAGGTTAATTTGGGAATAATGCGGGGCAGGCTAGCAGAAGTTCACACAGAGCATCTTGATCGTGGCTGCAAACTGAAACCCAAGTTTTGCATCGAGACTAGATTTAATATAACTGCACTGTACGTTTTCTGTGCTGGTTGTAATACATTTGAGATTGTAATATAGACTACAGCATCTTGATCGTGTTCACTATGTAATATTCACTACTTGTTTTCCGAAATTTTCAGCATGCACACGCACTGTTTCCATAGGGAAAGCTGTTACAACCACCCCCATATTTTTATTCTATTTCTATTTTCCCCTAGAACATATTTTAAATCTATCAATTTAATCCTTTATCTCTTTTAATCCTAACCCTTGATCTAGATTCCCTATCTCTCCTAAACTGCCAAGTGGCAGGTTCTCAGAGCTCTTCTCTTCCCTCTCTTCCCGAGTGTCCCCTTGCAGATCTCTCTCTCTGTCACGGGAACTCTCCTCTCTCCCTTCACTCCCTGCACCGTGACTAGCCAAGCATCCTGCATGCAGCTCTAGTGTAGACCATCATCATCATCTCCCTTGCACCATCTCTATCTCTCTCTCCGTCGCAGCGAGGTCAGGGAGCCCAGAGAAAGGACCTCCGATGGATTTCTCCATTTCTTCCGGCTAGGTAAGTTAGATTTTCCTTTTTAAATTCCCATTGTTGTTGTGGGACGTTGTGTGTTGAAAGTTATGTTGTTTTTCCAAAGTTTTGAGGACGGGAACGGCACGGGGAAACTCACCCGCATTTTCCGACGAAACCGTGACTTTCGAGGATTCTTTCCGAGCTCTCACGGCTGTTCACGATGAAGCTAGGGTATGAAAAATACTCCACTCTCTTCCCTCTTCATTTTAGTACTTGGTTTGAGTAGTGGTTTATTTGTTCGCCGTCGACCGGAGCTATAACAGCTTCGGTGTTCTTCCCAGATAACACCCAGGCCACCAAGCCTTCTCAAAACACCCCGGGCCTTAGCCCTTACTTGGACCGGCCCAGTTCCCTTTTGGTTAATTGGCCTGCGGGCCGTGCATGTGCATGGAGTGTGTGTGTGTTTTGTGGGCCGTGCATGTGTGTGGTTTGTGTTTGTGTGTGTTGGGCTGATTGTATGTGTGGTGTGTGTGATATGTTATGCATGTGTGTGTTGTGGGTCCGCGTGTGTGTGTGGTGTGTGTGTGTAAGCATGTGCACGTGTGTGTGGTGCACGTATGTGTGTGCAGGTGTGGGCATGCGTGCTGTGCATGCATGTGTATCTGTGTGCTGGCGTGTGTGTGTGTTGTGTTGTGTGGGTTTGGGCTCAAGCCCAAACCACCACCCATTTTTTTTGTTCCTAGGCCTATCCAAAACCAAAACCCATTAGGTTCTACCCTATTTAACCTAAACCTAAACCCTAATCCGAATCCAAACCCAAGACCCATTTCCATTTTTTAAAGTTCTATAGTTGGGAATTTTGAATAAATTGTACATTTTTGTGCTTAGGTGAAGTTGCTAGTGGAGATTTCCTTAATCATTTTCCGCACAACTCTGCTGCTACGGAGTATCTGTGAGTGGACCTCTTCTAAAATTACATGATTTCATAGTTTAATTGCATAAATGAATAGCATGCCTTGCGAGTTTATGAACTGATTTTATGTTAAGCATGTTTATGAAATATGTTGTTTATCGTCTCGTTTTTTGTGAGGAATTAATTGTTGGCCTATATTGAGCTATATTTTAAAATATCGTATTTTTTATAAAAACCATGAACTGGTAGACTATCTGTTGGATGACGATAGGATGCTAGAACATGTTTTAGAAACCCCTATTTATAGTATAGACGATGGATGACTTTATACTATGAAGTGGTTATTTTTTAGAGGCGTAACTATTTGTGCGTACCTAGTGGATACTATGCTGCCTGGGGCGAGGATCTGGTGTTGGCAGATAGGCTGGGATAAATAATCCCTAGCTACGGGCTGAGGGACACGGAGCAGGCATTGGGCCGAGAGTTGGTAATCTTTGACTACGGGCGTAGAGACCACGGTGCTGGCATAGGGTCAGGAGATATATTTATTTCAGTGATCTTACTAATAGTACATCACGCGACGAGACGATCTGTGAGACGTTTGGTATTTTATTTTCCATGATGATTTTTGAGATATTTTTGGCATGCTAGGGTTTTCAGTAAAACCATCATTTATTATGCTAGTAGTTTTCTTTATATAAAGTGTGGGGGTTAATATCTTGATAACTGTTTTATTATTATTGTATTTATGAACTTGATCCACTCACCTTTATTCTGCGTCCCCATCCAGGTCTTAGAAACGAGGGTTACGACACAACGTACGAGGCATTCCCCTACCAGTAGCAATCTATCACCCACTTGTGTGATATCCTGTAATGATCTTTCCTTTTGTGATATTGTTTTAGAACGTGTTCTGGGCACTCTAGACATTTCCTTAAACCTTGTTTATTACTTCTAGATTTTAATGTTTATTCATGAATATTTCCTCCTAATCATTACTCTTGTAATCAATAAATGGCTTTTGTCACCTTCAGGTGTCAGCCAGTACGTGTCTATCCGGGTATTAAGAGAATATCGGGGTCGGGACGTGTCAAAAGCAATGGGTTTTTTTTTTTTTAAATTTTTTTAATTCAAGAGTAATAAGTAATGAAACTTGCGGGCTTCTAGCACTTGAGAACAGTTGGAGGAGTAACCCAAAGCCTTAATTATTCAATGCAGAACATAAAACTTAGTCCCAATTGTATTGTTCGTCATGAAAGTAAGCAACTTCAAAACTATTGTCATTTGTCTGGTTCTGGTTGTAAAGATAAATATGTATGAACAAAAATCATATGCACTGCCAGGTTACACAAGAACATCATCGTCCACAAAAACAGATCAGTGATGAGTGCTAACCACTAACCAGCAGCACAGTCTAGATCATATTACCATCTTCGAAACTCCCGGATGCCTGAACCAAAGACCTCTCATCCATCGGATTTGGTTTTGGTGCTATTACTAGTGATCGGCCAATCCAGGAACTTGTAACCTTCAAGTGAGGGTGGTAGATATGCCTGCGTGGCACTGGCTGAGGGATTGTCAGGAGGGTAAATGTATCCGTTGGCATACCCAAGTTCCTTCATTAGCTTGGTAGGCGCATTCCTCAGATGAAGAGGCACTCCCTCATTCTGTCCGACAGAGTCCCTCACCACTTGTTGTGCACTCCCTATTGCTTTATAAACAGCGACAGATTTAGGAGCCAATGCCAAGTAAGCCACACACTGTGCAAGAATGACATTGCACTCTGGCATTCCCAGAAAATGGCAAGCCTGATGACAAGCAACGGCCTGGCTCAGAGCGGATGGGTCAGCCAACCCAACATCTTCACTAGCAAACCGTATGAGTCGGCGGGCAATATATAGAGGTTCTTGGCCTCCTTCTAGCATCCTTGCCAACCAATAAATGGCCGCATTAGCATCACTTCCTCTCATGGACTTGTGAAGGGCACTGATGAGATTATAGTGCTCTTCCCCCGCTTTGTCAGAGGCGACATGTTTGCATTGCAAAGCCTCTTTGGCATCCTCTAAGGTAACAACAGCAGTAGCCACTAACTTATTATGATCATCATCATCATTCATAGAGGTAGGGGTAGAGTTAGAGATCGTGGAACTAGAGGTAGAGGCCGCTCGGGCAGCTGCTGTTGTTGCAGAAACTTCCAAGGCATTGAGTGCCACCCGAGCATCGCCATCGCAGTTGGCGGAGATGAAATGGATGGCCTCATCATTGACATGTACAGGCATCTGCACACCAGGAGCCAATCCCTTATCGGAGTCATTGGCGGCCCGCTTGAGAAGGAGCTCAACCGCGTGGGGTCTCAGAGGGTGGAGAACAAGAACTCGGCAGCGAGACAAGAGCGGCCTGATCAAATGGAAGGAAGGGTTCTCGGTGGTGGCCCCCATGAAGACTATACTGCCGTCTTCGATGACGGGCAAGAACGAGTCCTGCTGTGACTTGTTGAACCTGTGAACCTCGTCCACGAACAGCACTGTTTGTTTTTTCTTAGCCGCCTGTTTCTTCTTGCGGGCCTCGTCGATAGCGTCCCTCACGTCTTTAACCCCGCAAGTGACGGCGGACAACGAAACGAATCGGTAGGAGGAGCAAGGGCGGGAGGCGGAATTGATGATGGATTTGGCAATGGAGGTCTTGCCGACGCCTGGTGGACCCCAGAACACAAGAGAAGGGAGACGTTCGCAGTCGATTGCGGAGCGGAGCAGAGAGTTTGGGGCAAGTAGGTGGTCTTGGCCCACGACGTCGTCTAAGGTGCGAGGGCGCATGCGCTCCGATAACGGCTCGTTGGTGGTTTTGTTGGCATTTTTGGGGTTTGCTGGGATCGCTAGTTTGAGACGTTTCGACTTGGAGAGTGCAGCTTCTTCTTCTGGCCCCTCTCCCCCTGCGGCTGGGGTGGATTCCGATTCCTCTTGTAGTTTGCGAGCGGAAGCGGGGACGGGACGCGGATAATCGGAGGAAGGAGGCTTGGACTGGAACAGAAAGAAGCGGTCGAGCTTGGGTTGGCAAGGCCGCCCGGATGAAATCGGGCTCGGATTCGTGCTAGTGCCGGCGGATGTGGATGATTCGCGGTTGAGAATCCATTCTGTGGCCTTGAGAATGGAGTTGCCCCCTGTCCCTGTGGCAGCTAGGGCTTGGGCCGCCAACTCGCTGGGGAAGCCCATGCTCAGCAGCTGCTCCATTTCCATCTCTCTGGAGTCTGGTTTGTGTTTTCTTCTTTTATTAAATAAGAGAAAAAGATAAATCCATATAAAAGAACAAGGCAGCGATTGAATCTGTCGGATCTCAAATTCCAATCGATTTCAACCCATTTTCTCAGCAACCAGAGGCTTGCGATCTCAAATTCATCGTCTTGGAGATTGGGCTCTGCTTAATCAGCGAAAAATTGGATCCCTTGTGAGAAGTGGAAGCGCCGATTCGATTCGGCGATGGAGAAGACGAATTAACGCAGGAGAACGCAACGGAGAGAGAGACGACGGAATGCGAGCGCACGAGAGAGAGAGGAGATGAATTGAGATGGGATTGCGAAACCCTTGTTACTCGGCGATGGAGAAGACGAATTAACGCAGGAGAACGCAGGAGAACGCTAGAGAGAGAGAGAAGACGGAAGGAATGCGAGCGCACGAGAGAGAGAGGAGATGAATTGAGATGGAATTGCGAAACCCTTGTTACTAAACCCTTGTTTTGAAGGATAATTATCTTTTGAGTTTTAAAGATAAAATAAAAGGTAAAGTGAATTATGATTGAATTTTTAGTGTATAAGTATGATTTTTTGTTAAAATGAATAATATTGAGAGTTTTTCGTTAAAATTCTCTTGTTTTAATTCTCTCTTCTAATCCTGTGTTTAGTCCCCTTCTGTAAATTATCCAAACAAGGTGAAATTTGTGAATGTTTAAATTCATTGAGTTTAAGGGGGTTTAATCAATTCGTAGAGATTTCATGAATTTTTTTTATTCAATTCCACCGAAATCTGAGGGGTATATGTGAGATTTGTGAATGCTTAAATTGCACTAGAAAATCTCTTCAATTCCCTTAATTTCCTCAACTTTTTAAAATTGTTTAAAATAAATTTCTAATTGAATAGATCTGAAATGATATAAACTTCTTTGAAATCTTAATTGAATACACCCAGATTTCTAAGGATTTTAATAAACTATCTTAAAATCCTAATTAAATACACGTTAAATTTCAGAGAATCATTTAAAATCCTGATTGAATACTCATAAATTCATTAAAAGAATTAAAATTCTTCAAATTCTCAATTGAATACACCCTCCTAAACCTAAGGAATTTTAAAATCACGGAAATTCGAATGATGAGATTTTATTTTGGGTGATTTTTTTTTATAAAATCAATAAAAAGTTTCAATATTAACAATATATCAATCATATTTATACTAATTATCAGTTTTCTAAAAATCGGTCTATGTGGTGAAAACCCTCTGCGATTTAGGGCAAATCGTTTCAAAAAATCTGTCTGGAGCTAGATGGTTGCCTAGGCGGCACCTAGGCGGATTTCTTTTTTTTTATTTTTTATTGTGTGCTTTTTTTAAAAATTTTTTTTTTTAAAGTTTCATGGTGGTATACTTATGGAAATAGTGTACCTAATTTGCAAATGATGGATTGACTACAAGTTCATCTAATTGTGAAATGAATTGGAGAACTTTTGAGGGGATACGTTAAAAAAAAAAAAAAACTAGATACAACAACGTTAAATAATTTAGTCTATGTCCAATTCAATGCAAGGATCATGAACAAGAAGAATTTAGTCTATCATCCATGAGTACTCCTCATTATGATTATATGCTTATTGTTTTTTAAATATTGAACTTGTTGGATGGATGTATTTTGTGTATTCTTTTACTTAAATACATTTAAGATATACAAAAATTACAAAAGATGCCACTACAGTTGGCATCTTTAAATGATACCTCATTTCTCATATTTTTCATATTTTGAAATAGGTCAATACGAACACTGTTTTCTGATTATGGTATTATTGGATTTAGACGCTGTGTTGCAGTATCCATTTTCTGGTTCTATTTTTTTCCATCACTCAAGTGCCTTCTATTCTTCACACCTCATGCAATTCCTAATTTTGGATTTGGATTCAAACACTGCAACGCAGTGTGCAGTGTCTATTTTTACTTTTGGATTCAGAATGCAGTGTCTGTTTCCTATTTCTTTTTGTTTTTAGCATTTTAATTCATATACTGCATTGCAATGCCTATTTCCTAGTTCTTTTTTTTTCTTTCTTTCTTTTTTCATTTTGATTCTAACACTATGTTGTAGTGTCCGTTTTCTGGTTCTATTTTTTTTTTAATAAAACACGAATCAATAGTTATAGCAGAGTTTCCAACCTCCGCCCCCACCCATCTTTGCTTTCTCCTCAATCCTTCTCTTTCTATCTCCTTCTCCCTTTCTATTTTTCGTTCTAATCCTCCCTTACGTACGAGAATGACACTATAAATTGTCGTCAACCACCCCTGGGCTTTGATCAGAAGTTAGCGATAACAAATTTGAAAGTTGGAGTTGTCATCGATCATCTTTGGGCTCCATAACGAGGTAAGAATTGAAGAAGAGAAAGTGAAGAGTAAGAGGGAGAAAATTAATAGGGTGTCACCGGAGAAATTATCACCGTTGATGGAGATGGGTCGTTGTCGAAAGTTCATGGTGGCACGTAGTGGGTGGTTGCTGTGAGTTTTTGGTGGGGGCTAATATTTTCGAATTTCTGTATCACTTTTGAGAATTGTAATAGACAAGGTATTTTTTCAATCGAACTATTTATTCTGGTTAGATGGATGAGAGAGAAAGATAGAGAGGCAGGGAGAGGAGAGATAAACATGAGAGAGTGAAGAGAAAGAAGGGAAGAGAGAGACATGATAGAAAATCGGAAGAGAATGAAGTAAAAAAGGACGAGAGAGTGGGGCAGATAAGGAATAGAATA